ACACATATAATTGACCTTGACCTAACTTGACCTGAAATGACCTCAGCAGCAAAATTCTGGTCGGATAGTGTGACAAAGAGGTTCTAGCTGGCTTGGCACCAGAAAACAGCATCGTCATCGGTATTTGATAAGCAGCGCACTTGATATCCAACGGTGACCCAAAACAGCAACATTTTTTAGTTTGACCTGACCTGGAAGGTCAATGACTGACCTGAGAAGGTAAAACTGGGTATCATTGGATTTGTCTCTTCCCAAAGAATCTTTTTGGTCTTTACTGCTAAGCTCTATCTCCAACAGGAACGAAATGGCGCGGGGGGGGTGGCAACCACCCCCCCCCCCCCATGTGCGTTCTAGGATGGGAAAATGACATGTGCGGGCGAGGGTTAACAAATCGTACAACTGGGATGCAATGGACACTGGAAACAATCATTTGTCATCAAACAACATTTATCACTATTTGCTCTATCTGGCTGTTTTACGATACACTAACACGAGTCAGAAGATGAGGGAGGGGAGTCTTCTTAGAGCAGTGGAAGGGATAAAAACGGTGACAAATGGCCTGTCTCGGGGTCCCGCCGTCGACCCGGGTCATTTCCACGGCGCGCGGTCGGGGGTGCCGGCAGTCAATTAGAGGCGTCTTCTGTGGCCAGCCGGCGGCCGGTGCCAGCGTTTTTCTCCGCGGCCGGCATTGCATGCACTGGGACCTGGCAGCGGCGCCGGCGCCGGGGCCGGGGCGCTGCCAGACCCGCCGACATGTCGCCTCTGTCGCCGGGGCGAGCCGTGGAATAGCGGCCGCCAAATGGAGCCGGCACCGTTCTCCGGCTGGCGGCGGGTACTGAGTAGCCTACAGCTGCCGCCTGCCTGCATGGTGCAGGATCTTGCGGCCTGGCGGAGCCCGCCCCGGTCCAGCAGGATGGGTCACACAAACTGAGGGAGACGCAGATGAGCCGGTGCGCTCAGGCTGGCTCACTCTAAATTTGATCCTGACTAAGAAGTGACCGTAGTGTGTAGTGTCATTATTGAGTATTGACATATTGGCGATCTGTTAAACTGTCCTTCTGCTTCCGCTGTGTTGTTTTACAATTTGAAACACCGGCCGTTATGTGGTCACTGGTCCTGCAGAGCCGAGTCAAAACTGTAGTGGGGTAGGGGAGGGAAGGACTTGAAAATGCGTCCGTCTCGAGAAGTTATAATTAGGGTAGCCTGGGGCAAGACGCCCCAGATAATTTATTTTGCTACATAAATTTTGTCCCACATCACCTGGAAGGCCAAATTTGTGCTCAATGCGTTCTATGGACACTTTACTTTAAATTGCACCCCTCAAATTCATTCACTTATGATCGGACTCCAAGCTAGGAAGTGATTTGTGAAGCAACTGCAAATGGGGCATTTTGCCCCAATCCCAGGGCAAAACGCCCCACGGCCTGGGGCAAGTAGCCCCATACTTTAGATTAAAGATTTAACATGGTAGTTGGCTAAATCTTATGTGAGAGGTCCGTTAGACCTCTGGAGGCACGGCACTGAAGTTAGCACATTCCATCCTGTCAGGTGTTCAGCTATGGCACTGTTGTATGAGCAGGTTATTCACCTACCTCATATGACCAAATAATAAATTATTGCAATGCAAATGTTAACAAAATACTTCCTTTGTCATCCAGTTGCTGAGAAAAATACACATAAAGGCATAGAAACTTACTGTTCGCCAGCTACCGAACATTAGAAAGTGGGTAGCCCGAACAACACATGAGGTAAAACGCCCCAGGGGCTTTTTGCCCCGCGACCTACTGGGGCGTTTTACCCCATCACGTAGTTCGGTCAGAGAACAACGCCTTGCACTCCAGCAAGACATAATTTAACACGAACCAACCCGGCATGATAAGCGTTAGACAATAGTTGTTCAAAATACATAAAAGTCGTTAACCTGATGTGGACCATAAAAGAACGCCGTGCTACATAATCTGACAACAAAACATAAAAATCACTCAAAAAACACATTTTTGGCTATATCTCCCGAACGAGTCATCACAATTTCTTTCCAGTCTGCTCATATAATGATCATATAGTGCACGTTTTATAGAAGAGATGATGTTTCCCCAGAACTCTGCCAGTTCCGAGAAACATCGGTGAGGCGTTTTACCTCGGCGGGGCGACTTGCCCCGGTCTACCCTAGACCAATGAAGTTGCAGATTTTTAGGAAGGTATGAAGTCATTAGAGCGAGTGGAATCGATTTGGAGCCGCTAAAGCAGCTCGCAAAATAAGTTACGTTATACGTTTTTCTGTTTGTCCGGCTTTTAACCCTCGCCGGACCTATTGGTTTTCTACATACGCGCCGGCCGAGGGGGGGGGGGGGCGGGTACGACCCCCCTCTCGCCGTTTCGCCCCTGGTGGAGCTAGCGCGTCGCGGAAAAAACGAGCGTGTGCGCCGTTACGAGACGCAGAGATTGGTACCCGATTTTAAGGTCCTAGGTTAACCGGTGACCTCTGAGGTCAGGTCAAGTGCCCCAAGGTACGGTTCAGTTTTTGGTGAATAACTTCGCAAAAAACGGCCGCAGAGCGCCGATTTTGGCAGCATCGTGTTTGTCTCGCTCAGGCGCGTCGAATGATATACTTTTTGTCCGGTCAGGTCAACTTGGGGTGTTGACCTCAGGTCAAGGTCAGGTCAGCACCCTCAGGTCACGAAGTTGGTCGAAAGAGGTCATGTCGCATATCATTCGATTCGGCAGGTCTTCCTGAGTCCATTGGTGGCTTTCCCGACTCGCTAGCTCAATTTGATCAAGAGTTATTGACGAAAAACTAATATGACCTTGATGACGTCGTAAATGACGTCACGCAAGGTCAACATTGCAAAAGTGACGCATCTAACCTTGCAAGGAGTGCATCAAATCACGATTCTGTGTGCTTGAGATAGTTGGAGATCGTTCCCGGCGCCAGAATAGCAGTTTTCATTTTTCCCCATTGACTTATAATGGTGAGGTCACGAAAATGACCTGACCTCATATGACCTTTAGGAAAAATCCGAGATATACAAGTTGTGGGACTCATAATGGATACTAGATCCTGCAAGTTTCATTTCCCTGTGACATCTCCTCTGGCAGTGAGGGCGTTGCGAAGTTGCGACATCTGAAGACCGTGCAGAGGTTCACTTATGACGTCATAGGTCAGTGACCTGACCTGACCCAAAAATGCGGTTGGTGTCAAAAGATGCGGCTTGGATCAAAGGTCAGGTATGCCAAGTTTCAGCTCTCTATCGCCAGCGTGTTCGGAGCTATCGCGAAAAAAACCCTATGGGGGGGGCGGCACCCGCCCCCCCCCTCGGCCGGCGAGGGTTAAAGTAACACCGCATTTGCATAGAAGCTTCTCATTTTTATTCGACGCTTCACTAATACTAACCCTCGCCCTGGCAGGGGGGGGTCGATGCGACCCCCCCCCCCTAAGGTTTTTCAAAGATAGCGTAAAAACGGCGGCGCGCAGCGCCGCCAAATTTGGCACAGCCTATGGGGCAACCTTTTTACATGTGACCTGAAAATTTCAGGTCCGGGTGACCTTGGGTCAGGTCACCAGGTCAGAAAAACCGGTACAAGGTCATGGTCAAATTTCAATTTTCTTTTCGCACCTGTCCTGCTCACAGTTTTGAACTGATTTCCTTCAAACTTTCAGGGTGTGCTAAGTTCACCGAGTTGTATAACATATAGTTCGGGTTTTTTGAGGTCACTGACCTGAGGTCAGTTAGAGGTCATTACGTCGTAATGTTAAGCCTATGGGAAAATACTAAATTCGGAAAATACTGGAGATATCCGCTTCATTCCATCACTTTTGTGCTTTGAAACCACAGTACTTAACAGCAGGTCACTTGGTGCTTCTTTGTTTGGTGTACTTATCCATGGGTCAGGTCAAATGAGGTCAACTGAGGTCAAATGACGTTTTTGCCAATAACTTGGCACACAATGACGCTAGAGCTTAAAAAATGGTATCATTGTGTTCCTGGTGATCAGCCGAATCGAATGATATGCGATATGATGCAATTTGGTTAACTTGAACTTAATTGATTAATTAAAGTTTACTTAAAAATTAAGAAAAACTTTAAGTACACGTAAGAAAGCTAAAAAGTATATCATTCGACGCGCCTAGACGTGCTGAGTTCACTGGTGCTTTTCTTTTTGCTCTATCTTAATTAGATCAAAAGTTATAAGCGAAAAACTTTTGACCTGTTTTTAGCGAAATTTTTACATTTATACCCCCAAAACCCCCCTAAATATTGACCTAGAGCAACCAAATTTGCACAGGGGCGAGAACTCCGGGGGGCCCATCTACCTACCAAATTTGGTGTTTCTAGGTGCCATAGGGGCCAATCGCGAGGGGGGGGGTCGCATCGACCCCCCCCCCCCTGCCAGGCCGTGTTATGAAAAATGCCCTGCCAGGGCGAGGGCTAATAGTAACAATAAAAAGAAGCATCACCTTCCCTTCCCACACAATACACATAGGTACACATATGCTCGATCTTCCTCATTTCAGATTGGTCCCATCATTGACTGCGACTGCGTGTTCGTCCAGACTGGCCAAAAAAGGTGTACAAAATTTGTATTTATAGCCAAAATGTGAACAGTTGACATCTGTATGTAGGTACGATGCCTACTTAGATTTGCCAATAGGTACGGGCTGGTTGATAGGTAAATCATGGCATCAGTCATGATTCGTGTGCATGGAGCATTGAGCAAAGCGCGTCTTCGTCTTACATTAACTTACATACTTTCTGATTTGCTCGGCGGGCTATTCCTCAGATTTTTTCGAATGCAAGAAACTCTACTTACCTCGCTGTGAGCCGGGAGTAGTGAAAACGTCTGGAAAAGTCTCATGCTCTATTCTTACTTAGTTAACGGAACATCTGACCTGAACCGTTTGCACAATAGTTCAGTGATAAACTGGTAATTGGTCGGTGACATGCGGAGGAGTTTCTATTTTTACCTTCCCTCCTGAGCCCTGTGAGTGATATTTCCTCGGCGGCATTGACCACTGCGGCCGGGTCACACACGCTCGCAGGAGGGCCGTTGCAGACGGCGGTCGGCCTATTTCGGGTGGGTCTGGTCGTCGCGGCAGGCGCCGACATTGGCCAGGTACTCGCGGCGGTGCCGGCCGCCCCTATATAAGCGCGGTGCGCCGGTGTGTGCGCCGGCGGCGGTGCTCTCTCCCTCTCTCCCTCTGCCGGTGAGGAGCAGTGTGTCGGTGGCTGGCGGGGCGGCTGCAGCACGGGGTGACAGCAGCACCAGGGAGGCAGCGGCAGCGGCAGCAGCAGCGGCGCGTGCAGCGACAACAGCAACAGGTGAATAGTGAGAGACCGTGCGGTGGACAGCGAGCAGCGGCGCCCGCCCGCACAGACGGACGGGACTGTCCGGCGACCGCTCGGGTGTGGTCTGGACGGACGAGAGGGACCTGACGGCCGTAGTGGTCCCGGGTCCGGACCATAAAGGTGGTCCTGACCAGGCACGGACCCGGACGGACCATAGGGAGAGACCGTTCCGGTGGCTGGCTGACCGTTCACCTGTTGACAGTCGGTCAACAGACAGGCGGCTACTCAGTGAACCTTATTAAAGCCCTTCGTCCTCCTGGGAAATGTGCACGATGTTAGAACAACGATCAAAGTTGAGGTCCATTGACTCAATCTTCGCATGCTTGATGTTATAAGCAAGCATGTAAGATGAAGACGTTCCTATGAAAATCAAATTAGATTGAATTGAATTGGCCCGCGCCCCACGGGGGGGGGGGCTATTCATAGCCCCTTCTCGTTTTTCTGTAATAACTTCTAAACCGCTTGACATATCGACACGGTACGTTTGACACCTTCGGCTGCATCAATTTGACACCTTATGTCAAAATATGAACTTCGTAAATACCATAAGTCGGCCGGAAATGACGTAAAAGTGACGCCATGTTCGACCGATTTCGACGAAAAACATAAACTCGCGCATGACTGGGGTATTTTCCATAACGCGAGTGATGGGGGGGGGGGCTCTCCCCTCCTATCTCCGACACTACTGGGCCGATCGTCAAAATTCAAACGGCGTCTGATAGCCCTGGAAAAATTGTTGAGTAATACCTATTTTCATTGAACTCGAGGTCACTGATGACGTCACAGGTCAGGTCAAAGTAAAAATAATCGGCATCTTTGCTTGCTTACAATTTAGGCTCTGGCCGCCGGCTGACAAGTCCGATCAGGTTCATTTTTGGTTTACGCACTTCTTGCTATATGCCTTAGATACTCTGATTACGGAGCGAGCGAAGCGAGCGGAGTCTCATACTGAATTAAGGGAAAATTCTGAGTATGAGCGGCCGGCCGGCCGGCCGTGGGGACGCTCTTCAAAAGCTAATATCTTAGGAACGGGACATCCGATTGACAAGCGGTCTTCTTTACTGAATGTCACTTGGACGTAAAAGTTCTGTGGTGTGATGGCCACCATGCGTTCTTGCCAACCGCCGCACGTGGCGCGTGGTAAAGTTGGACATTTTTTAAGAACCCCCAAAATTGCAACCTCAATAACGGCACAACGGTTGGGCCGATTGAATTGAAACTCGGTACACAGTTAGGTCTCCATCAGATAATTCATCTGCATGTGTTAAGGTTGGGGTGCTACAGCACGTGCGCACGTGCAGGGGGCGCTCCCAGATCTCGAGAACGGCTGGGCCGATTGCGCTCAAATTTCGTACACGGTTGGGGACCAGTTAGTAGGGTGCCGTGCAAAAGTCAGTTTGGACCCCGCTTGCACGTGCGCACGTGCAGTGTGCCGCTTCCAGATCTCGAGAACGGCTAGGCCGATTGCGCTGAAATTTGGCACATCGCTAAAGACCGGTTAGTAGGGTGCAGTGCACAAGCTAGTTGGAGGTACCCCCTCGCAATTTCGCACGTGCAAGGCCCATCCTCTCGCTCGCTCCGTTGGTCGCCCAAAAAGGCGTTTTACTGGTACATAACTTTAAATTCAAATTGTTAGGTCAAGGCCAGGTCATTCTAGGTCACGAAAAATGTATATCATGTATCGGTCACCTGACGCATGTTTCATGGTCCATTTTACACGTCGATTTCGAATGTCGTCTGTGTCATTTGAGGTCATTTTCAGGCCAGCTGAATTTACCTGAGGTCAGGTCAATTTCAGGTCAGATAAGATCAAATTTTGAAAATGAAATTTTTCAACAAAAAAGGTGCCTGTCAGATGCAGTTTGAGCTCAGGAGCACGATGGTGCCATTTATATTGCTGTACGATGTCAAAAACGGACTGAAAAATGGTTTTGGAAAATATATAATTGTAAACTTTTGACAATAATGCACATAACTTGGCTATTTTTGAAGATATTGGGCTAAAACCTGCTAGGGTAGTCCATCAGTGTGTGTTCTATCACATATACCGTAAAGTGGGGCTATTTGAGACAGTGGGGCTATTTGAGACAGTAAGGTAGTGGTTTAGTAAAATCGTTGTAAAATGAAAACCGTTAGATATTTTTTCGTCATTTTTGCTTAGGCTGATGTGGAATTGAACAGTGAATGACCTGAATAACCTTTTTGAAAATTTCGAAAAGTTTTGAAAGAAATTTGGCATAAAATACGAAATACAGAAAAACGCAAAATTTATGCTGCTCCAAAAGAACCCCTACCTGCAGCTTAAAATAGTTGAAATTTTAACAGCTTCGCCACTGGATCTATCGTTACTACCGTTTTAGCATATGCCGGAGTATGTCTTTAGCATTAGCGCGAGCGTGCGGTAAAAGCTTTTTGGATTAAACCGCATAATGTTGAAGTCAATTGAGCAAAGGTTTCGGCCCATGGGCAAAACATTTTACCAGCGAACTTTTGAAGCATTTCCTGAGACGGAGGAAGGCGCTGGAAAAGAGCTTAACTGATATAAATCTAACGTTAACTGATGTGTTGCATTTGGTCGCTTTGAACTATTGAAGAGATTGTAAATGTTGGTTTTCAATAAGATAATATTTTAAATCTTAATGTACTGACAGATTAATTAATCACCTACTGTAGCGCCAATTTCATGCCTTTTACATGTGTAATGAATTGACAAAAAAACGCATTTCACATTGATCAGTAAAAACTTTATTCATATTGACATGGGTAGAAAACCAAGCGCTCACTTCACAGGATTGTAGGTATACCTTCCACTCTTCTCTAATATTGAAAACGAACGTTACTCTAGCTTCTCATATGACATAGATTGAAGTAGATGTTCTTGGTTTGATAGAAATCCAACTCACAGCCAGACACAAGGATGAGTCGGCTTGGTTTATTATCTTGGTCAGGGAATATGTACATTTTTTAGTTCTTGATATTCGGTCTTGGTTTTTCCACTTCTTTCAAGCATGTAAAATTGTTAAAGAAGCTTAAATATGGAAATTAAACGGCATATGCTAAAATAAATATCACACTTGGGCCGGAATGTTTCGTTCAGGACCTCGGGCTTTGTTGAATTTTCCGCCCTCGACCTTCGGTCTCGTGCGGAAAACTCAACAAATCCCTCGGTCCTGAATGAAACATTTTACCGGCCCCGTGTGATATTATATATTACTTATAGGCTAAGCACATTTTTTCATGAAAATATTATATATTGTTAACGGTACTGCCGATTACATAACCCATTGTCTCAGAATCCCGATGATGCCCACCTGGTCAAATCTCAACAGATATGCCAAATAGCTACTGATAATGGTGATGCGATTGCACCCGAGAAGACTTACCACCATCTACCTGAAGTGCATCGAACGTTCGACATGAGCAACACCGGTGAATCGGTTGTGGTCATAAACGTGCAGTGGGTTCATGCTGGGTACTTTTAGGCTTTAGCGCAGCAAGCAATATTTACATGTTCGTAGTATAACATAATGACCCTTTAGCTGGTGACCAAACTAGTTATTCTGATGAATACGTGCTTAAAATGTGCTTTATCAGTCACTGACTTAGTCGGCAATCAACACATGTCTACCTTGGTTGACCAAAAAACACCATTTAACCCTCGCCCTGGCAGGGGGGGGGTCGATGCGACCCCCCCCTAAGGTTTTTCGAAAATTGCGTAAAAACAGCGGCGCGCAGCGCCGCCAAATTTGGCACAGCCTATGGCGCAACCTTTTTACATATGACCTGAAAATTTCAGGTCTGGGTGACCTTGTGTCAGGTCACCAGGTCAGAAAAACCGGTACAAGGTCACGGTCAAATTTCAATTTTCTTTTTGCACCTGTCCAACTCACAGTTTTCGACTGATTTCCTTCAAACTTTCAGGATGTGCTAAGTTCACCGAGTTGTATAACATATAGTCCGGCTTTTTTGAGGTCACTGACCTGAGGTCAGTTAGAGGCAGGGTTGTGCTTGACTCATGAGTCGAGTCAGAAATTTGACTCAACTCTGACTCAAATGAGTCAGATTTGAGTCGAGTCGGATAAAATGCTGAGCTGTTGAGTTGAGTCAGAGTTGAGTCGGACAAAAATATTAAGGCGTTGAGTTGAGTCAGAGTTGAGTCAGTAAAATAACTTTTGACATTGAGTTGAGTCAAAAACATTTAGGAACATGAGTCAGCTGACTCATCTTTCTAGAAACAATCTACATAAGCTTTTCATTCTCCCCCTGCTTAACAACTTAGGCCTGGCCCTGCTGCAGGATTTTTTTCACCCCCACCCCACGCCCAACAACTTTTTTTATCTGAGTCAATTTTGAGTCAACTGACTTGACTCAACAAAAATTTGAGTCAAGTTTGAGTCAACTCGTATTTTCATTGAGCCGCTTGAGTCATGAGTTGAGTCAAGGGGAAAAATCAGCTCCTTGTTTGAGTCAGAGTTGAGTCAGGGCTTTCTGAAGTTAAATGATGAGTCGAGTCGGCAAATTTTTTTGAGTCGAGCACAACCCTGGTTAGAGGTCATTACGTCGTAATGCTAAGCCTATGGGAAAATACTAAATTAGGAAAATACTGGAGATATCCGCTTCGTTCTATCACTTTTGTGCTTTGAAACCACGGTACTTAACAGCAGGTCACTTGGTGCTTCTTTGTTTGGTGTACTTATCCATGGGTCAGGTCAAATGAGGTCAACTGAGGTCAAATGACGTTTTTGCCAATAACTTGGCACATAATGAAGCTAGAGCTTAAAAAATGGTATCATTGTGTTCCTGGTGATCAGCCGAATCGAATGATATGCAATATGATGCAATTTGGTTAACTTGAACTTAATTTATTAATTTAAGTTTACTTAAAATTTAAGAAAAAAAACTTAAAGTACACTTAAGCAAGCTAAAAAGTATATCATTCGACGCGCCTTGACGTGCTGAGTTCACTGGTGCTTTTCTTTTTGCTCTATCTTAATTAGATCAAAAGTTATAAGCGAAAAACCTTTGACCCGTTTTTAGCGAAATTTTGACATTTATACCCCCCAAAACCCCCCTAAATATTGACCTAGAGCAACCAAATTTGCACAGGGGTGAGAACTCCAGGGGGCCCACCTACCTACCAAATTTGGTGTTTCTAGGTGCCATAGGAGCCAATCGCGAGGGGGGGGGGTCGCATCGACCCCCCCCTGCCAGGTCGTGTTATGAAAAATGCCCTGCCAGGGCGAGGGTTCAGATTATTTAGCACATGAACGTACTGTTAGGTGAGCCTATGCAAGTACTTGATGTGGTAGGGTAACCGGCCAATTGATACAGCATGCAGCGATCGAGGAAAATCGGCATAAAATCAAAGTCGCTTAACATATTTCTGTTATTTCTTCGCATGAAGATGTGCAATGAAACAAGGAATCATGTAGAACATTCACTTAAATGTTTTGGGAAACCTTCTAGCTCGTTTGATTCATTACGGTGTGCTTCATAAGGTAGCGAGCCTGTCTCAAATAGCCCCACCGACTTTCAGTATATCTGTTTTCACGCCACCAGGGCTACATACAAAAACTTACTTTCAAAAAATTTTCTGTCGTTGACTTTAAAATAGCCCTTGATGATCATCCTGTAATTTTGAAAGTTTAGGGTCACATCACATAATGATAGCCTTAGCATATAGTGATGCAATTTATAACCTACCGAAATGAAGCATCCTACGAAAACGGAAAAGATTGAATATAAAGGAAATATAACAATCTTTGCAAAAACAATTTTTGCCAGAATGATTAAAATTTAGTTTCCAATCGCATGGCGTTTAAAAAATTATATCTAACCGATTTTCTTCAATTTCTTTGTAACTAAAACCGTGTCTCAAATAGCCCCACCCTATGGGCCTATTTGAGACAGGCTTTGACGAACAAAGTATCCTGAATAATTATTATTAGCTGAACAAAAATGCGCCTATATGAAAGAGCTCACAGGGAACTACATTTTTGCAATTTACATGCTATAAGAAATATGAACCGTCTTGAAGAGAGAGGCCAAAAAATTGTAAAATCCGTTTCAAATAGCCCCACTTTACGAACTTTTTGAACAAATCAAAACATATTTTTTGTAATTGAAAACACATATTTTTCAAAATTTTCAAAATTTCGAAAATTCGAGATAGCAGTTTGATAGCTACGTGTACTTGTAATCCACTGATGCAAAGAAATTGGATCTAGCTTTAAAACTGGGCTCTTGAGAGCGTTTGCCGTAATCCAATATTTTGCATCAAAATCGGCCGACATGACGTCACTCTGACGTCATGAATTTGGACGAATTTGACAAATTCGTCCAAATGAATTGAATTCGTCCAAATGAATGAATGGGAATTTGACACAAGGTGTCAAATTGATGCCGCTGAGGGTACTGCAAGTTTCGTGTTGATTCGTTTAAAGGTTTAACCCGCGCACCGACGGGGGTCTGCGCCAACTTCGTACCGACGGGGGGGGGGGCGGATGACCGCCCCCCTGAGATCTCGAGAACGAAGCAAGATAGCGGCAAGCGGTAAACGGCATCGCATACGCACAGACAAGGTCTACAATTTTTACAAAGGTCATTTTCAGGTCAGGTCAAAGATGACGTCACAGGGGTCGAAAAAGTCAAAATGGCGGCGCTAGATAAGGAGAGAGTTTTTCTCGAATAACTTCCGAATTAGTCATGATAGGAACAAACTAAGGGCATCATCGTGATCCTCTCGTCAATCCGCATCGAATGATATATGTTGACCTCGAAAGGTCAAGGTCAAAGGTAGACCTCAGGTCACGTGACCTCGAGGTCATCATGTATATCATTCGATGCGTCTTGACGAGCTGAACACAATGAGATCATCCGTGTGGCTGTATCTTGTTCCTGTACGGAGTTATTGGCAAAAAAACCTTTGGTGACCTTTGATGACGTCACATGACCTTACAGCTGCCCAACAGCAAAACAGACCTCAAGGTAGTGAAGGTTGATCGTATATGAAGTCATGTATGGTATATGGGGCCATTCCGACCCGTTTTAGTGGTAAAAACAGGGAGTTGATTTTTCCCCCATTGACTTATAATGGGGAGGTCGCGAAATTTGAAAATTTTGAAATTTATGTATTAAGTCTCAAAATTTGTATTTTTGTCTTTCTTTCAAAAAGTTTTTGATTTTTCGGAAAACCGGGATATATGTGATAGAGCACATGCCATGGATATAGGTACTGTAGCAAGTTTAAGCTGGATATCTTCAAAAATAGCCAAGTTATACGCATCAGAGAAAAAAATTACAATTATATTTTTTAAAATCAACTTTGCAGAATGCATTTGACATCGTACACTAAGATAAATGGCACCATCGTGTTTCTGAGCTCAAACGGCATCCGATACACACCTTGTGTGTTGACAAATTTCCACTTAAAAATTTTACCTTTTTGGACCTGAAAGTGACCTAACCTCAGCTAAATTCAACTCAAAATGACCTCAAAGGACATAAACGACAGAGAATTCGAAATATATGGCCTAAATGAACCATAAAACATGTGGCACGTGACCGATGCATAATATAATATGTCCGTGACCTAAAGCATCTAGTTACAAGTATGTACCTAAAGCAAAAATGAGCCTGATTTGACTTGCCATCCGGCGGCCAGAGCCCAAAAGGTGAACAAGTCTAGGATTGATGATTGTTACTTTGACCTGACCTGTGACGTCATCAGTGACCTTGAGGTCAATTAAATTAGTTTTCGCTCGACAGTTTCTCCAGTGCTATCAGACGCCGTTTGAATTTTGACAATCGGCCCAGTAGTTTTGGAGTCCCCCCCCCCCCCCCGTAGGGCGCGTTACACGTAGACATCAGTAGGGCGCGGGTTAAATGGCAGAAGCAGGAATAAATCACATAGCAAGGAGCTTAGAGGTGAACTATTAAACACAAAGTAATCGTAATGATCGTGTGATTATGAAAAGCAGATAACAAAGTGTCTATCAAACAGCTCTTTTACCGTAAAAAACCCTAAATCCAATTAAGACACGGCATCGTGCAGCATAATTAAAAAAAAAAATACATATATATTCATTTGATATATTCAGTTAACCATAATTAGGACTGCGAAGTAAATACACTTTTTGGTGACCTCGAATCTGACTTCAAATATCTCAATTCTCGTTCAGGCTCCAGCTGCGACTCCGGAAATTTCTCTTGAACTTCATATCATGATAGCAAAATACACGTCGGAGATCTTTTTATCTTGCCTAAAACGATTTTTTAGCATTTCAAGGCCTTATATGTAGTGCAAGTATACATACATACTTAATTAATAAGTAGCATGCATAATTAAAAACGAGGTCCGGCACAGGCTCTGTTTTACAGCCTTTTTCGCTGAAAAAATCATCCAATTGCATCATTTATGCATCGCGATGCAACACTTATCTTCTTACACATAACTTCAGTGACAATTAAATGGACGTTATTAACGAATTCTAAATTAATTGCACGCATCGGTCACAGCATCGTTGAAAATACGCCTTTGCGTCGGTCTTTTATTTTGACACCCTCACGGCCTAAATTACATGCTCGTAAAGCATGCTGTAATTACTATTGACCTTTGCCGATGGCAGGAGTCAAGACGTGGCTGAGGACACACGTTCCGCATCGACCGAACAGGCCGCGATCGATGAGAGCTATGTGGAAATTCACAGAAAATGAGTTGAGCTACCCAGCCTCTGCACGAACCAAGACTCAACTCGTGGTCAAACCTTTGTTAACTTAACACGAAAGATACAACCATTAATTGTCCCTACTTGGTGCAAACAGGTGTCAGGGATCATCTGGTCCTCAAGTCAGATGGGAGCATGACACTGTCATGTGATTTCATTTGCGCCAACTACCAACTTAATTAATTTGCATAGCAGTGCTCCTTCGGACCAGAATAGAGCCTTATCCAACACGGCGCTGCAGACTCTCGCTGGGTAGTGTGACCTTCTTCAATAGGTTCGTAATTCTGCTGCCTGACTAATGAGGTTATTTCTCATCGGTGACTGGGACAATTCATTGTCAGGTCGACCACCCAGCCAACGGCTGCCCGAGTTTAGTCATAAAGGGTGTGACTGCTCCTGGCTGTGATGAGTGCTGCCTATTTTTCATGACGAAATGTGTGTCCACTGTCCCCTTCTGTCATAAGCTACTCGTATATTAGCTGACTCGTACTGCACATGACAGTTGCAAATACCCTACTGGAAAGTTGGCTGTTTTAATAAAAGGTTATTCTGGTGAGTCAATTGCAATTATTATTGATTTAGTTCGTGTCCAAGATTTGTCAGTGGCCGTTTTGTCATTGCAAAAAGGTGCAATATCTTCAATGGAGGTTGTTAATATTTTCATGTTGCAGCACAGGGGACAACCGCGCCTCAATGTGACAAATTTCCCGTCAATTGTTCGTTTCATTCGATCCCAGCCGTCACAGAGTAAGTGCCGTTTTTCCACGGGCGTTCACAGCGGCTGACGACTGCCCCTGTGCTGTTTCAGAGATGGCCTACAGCTGGGATAACCGGGTCAAGTTCGTCGTCCGGTATATGTACGGTAAGTTGGCGTCTCGTAGTCAGTGCTGACAGAACGGCAGATATCTCTTTGATAGGACGCATCGGCTGCGCAACTTGAACTAAATGCAAATGTTTCAACCAGACCTATGTAGGTCAAACTTGGTCGCATTTCGGAGCTGACCAGTGATCAAAGCTCTCCCTCCAATTCACCAGTCTCCGTTGTCTCGCTGCCGGGGCCCCGGCTGGTCGTTCACTGTTGACGCGCAACAAACATTGGCCAGCTAAAATGGCTGAATGACTGACAGCTGACCCAAGATTCTGATTAGAACTCGTCCAGTTAGTAGGCGCCAACTGTAAAAATTTCAGCGTGCCTCTCCATATCCATACCGGCGCTGATAATTTTGCTTGCCACAAACCAACATTGGCACAGCTTGGTGACCTGAACGTATATGCTTTCAAGTGACGTTCGAAGCTGGTATTCAAAACACCCACCCAGGAAATCACTCCTATTTGATTATTTTCTGTTGGGCCCAAGCGAACCGCCCAACTCTGGTATCGCGTAGGATGCTGTGCCGGCGGGCGGCAGTGTCGGGCGGCACAGCCTACAGAGTCGGGGGGCCGTCAGCCCTGGCTGCAGCGATGCGCCCCAATACACCGCTCGCAGTCTTGTTGCTTTTCTTTTTCATTTTTTTTTTTGCCATGGCGTGTTTGTACTGTGTAGGGGGGGGGGGGGACGGACACCCTTAATTTTTCTTCTTCTTCTAATTATAATTAAGCATACCTAATCTTCTCCGCTGACCGCTAACATTCCTTCAATCATCCATATGTTTAGAAATAAGAAATGTATATCAATAAATTGTTACTAAACACATATGGTAGTTCTGATAAGCACTGAAACTAAAAAAAAAAAACTGATAGAGCTGTGTAGCGAAGGAATCGCAAAACAATGGAACCAGTGAAATAAGCCCTCTGCATTGCCTATACGACTATACGTGATAGCAGAATTAATTAATACCTTGGACGCAACTAACCAGACTCTGTTTTCCACCTTCAGACATTGACAACAACGGCTACCTCGACAAGAACGACTTCGAGTGTCTGGCGGTGCGAACGTCGGTCATTGAGAGCAAGGGCGAGGTGAAGCCAGAGAAGTATGAACAGAACAGGAAGGTCATGCGGAATCTCTGGAATGAGATCGCTGACCTTGCAGACTTCAACAAGGTATGTCACACATGGGGCTTGACAACAACACCTACGTCATATTAGTGACATTATACAGACTATGGATCGGGATAACTTGGCATATTCTGTTTCCATTCCCTTTTATTATGAGTTGTTTTGTTTCCGTTATCATCATATTTTCATTTATTAACCCTTCACTTTGTTGCATGACTTTTGCTCAGAGCATTCCGATGCAGGCTACACGGTCCGTCTTCCTAGCTGCAATAGCATTGCAGCAATAGGTTATGGCTGAAATAAAATAATTGCTCATTACAGGACGGCGTCGTTTCGATTGACGAATTTAAAGCCGCCGTAAAAAAGGTTTGCGTTGGAAAGTCGTACAGCAACTTCCCTCAGGCCTTGAAGGCTTTCGTCGACAAAATGTTCGCTTCAGTCGACCTGAATGGTAAGAAAGATGGTGCGCTCAAACTAAAAAGTTGTCAAAGTATTGTGCCGCTTTTCAGCTACTTACATGTGCTTACATTTTGTGGCTTCTGTTATTAACAGCTTACATATGTAAATAATTGGCATTTCAAAGCTGCTTGTAACAGTTGTAAATAGTTGTGGTAAAAATATCAGAACAATGTAGCCGCATGATGAACAACGTCGTTACCGTTGTTTGCCGCCCTGTCTATCACGGCAGTAGTCAATAGATTTTAGCTTGTAGTCATGTTGATTGCGTGTTTATGCTAAACTCGCAAACATTACACAGCACAAGCATAGTTGATCACATCAGCAGTCCTGTAAAACTGAAAATTTAGCGCAACTGTGGCGCATCTCTGAGTGAATCTATCGAAGATACCACAGATAACAGTAGTACTACTGTTATCTGTGAAGATACCAATTGCACAATCACACCAAATAAAGCTTCATTGAATACCCTTCCTAAGAAACGATTCTATGCACATTGCACGGTTTCACCATTATTTTGTTTATTGATCTTCATTTTGTTTACCATGGGGTAACTTGACTCAAATTTTTATATAGTCCCTATCTAATTTCTCCCCCCCCCCCCATTAGCGTTTCCATAGATACATTATAGGCATTTCTTTTGAGATAGACTATATGGGTGCATTTGAAACCCCACTATGCAAAGTCCTTCTTTTTGGATTTTCTTTGCAAGTTATATTGCAATTCCCTGGGTTTTCTTTTGTTAAGTACAAAACTAATTTTCTATGTAGGAACTTCTATTTTTATACTAAGTAAAAACTATGTTAAAACTCGTTTTCCTATCACGGCCGCAAAGCGACACATTTGTTTGACAGCTTCTTGCCATCTGCAGGCAAGTAACATTAGTGTCCTGTTGAGCTCTCTTATGCCTTGCCATGACATCATTAGGTAGGTATGTATATGCACAGTGAGTTATGTACATCTAACCATAGGTGTGTCTGCCATTCATTGATTAGAAGTAATGGTGAATGACTAATTAAAAGCAGTGTGCACTGTACTCGAATCTCTAACCACTGTAATATATCAATCGGTTTACCATAGCGGATATCCTGCCCCCGGACGGGTTTGGACTCCGAGCTGACCACGCTCAGTGACCGTAACTGACCGCCACCGCAGGATGGTCAGGTCTCAGTCGAGGAGTTCAAGTCGGCCGTGAAAAACGCCTGCGTCGGGAAGCCGTTTGACGCATTCCCCGGCGCGCTAAAAGCGTTTATCTCATCCCACTTTGGCACAGTGGACGTGAATGGTAGGCGAGCACCCATGCGACTCGGATGACAAGGAATGAGACTAGTGTCCCGGAATGCCGATCGAATGCACCCGAATGTGGTCGGAATGCGACCAGAATGCGTCCGGAATGATAGCACCAACCCCGAATGATCTCTGCTCGACCCTCGAACCCAAAGGCTCGGCCAATGTCCAAATGTTGAGTTTGAAAGCTTGACATTTGGCGGACTCTCTGCAATTGGTAGTGAATAAGCTCTAAGAGGCAGTTCTGTTGGACTGTTGTGAAGGAGCTTAACAATATGCAATGCCGTGTAACGACAAACGTTGTGCTTTATTTTGTGAGCTATGAAGTCTGTTTCTGTGTGTGTTTGTGAAGTGCATTGTTGAGTCATGTGTGCCGGCAGGTTCCGTGTTCTAAGTCCCTTGTGCTGTGTTACAAAAGTGGGTGCGTGGTTGCCTCTTGTTTATTGCCAAGCCCTGTGTCGCGCTGGGTCCCGTTGCACAATGTACAGTCTTGTCAACTGCGTCATCGCATGCTATTGGCTATGATAATCGAAGGTCATGAATCTGTGATCATATTGATCAATGGTCATATCATCATATGATCTTCTGGCCCAAGCATACCTGATATGAACAAGTCATATACCCATAACATTTCAATCTTCAAAATATCTTAACCCGCGCGGGGCTGGGGGGGGGGGGGGGGTAAATTTTACCCACCCTCGCGAATTTTTGCGATAACTCAAAAACAGCGGCGCGCAGCGCCGCCAAACTTTCAGTAGGGTAGACCGGGGCAAGTCGCCCCGCCCAGGTAAAACGCCTCACCGATGTTTCTCGGAACTGGCAAGGTTCTGGAGAAACATCATCTCTTCTATAAAACGTGCACTATATGATCATTTTATGAGCAGGCTGAAAAGATATTGTGATGACTCTTTAGGGAGATATAGCCAAAAATGTGTTTTTGGAGTGATTTTTATGTTTTGTTGTCAGCTTATGCATCATGGCGTTCTTTTATGATTCACATCAGGTTAACGACTTGTATGTATTTTGAACAGCTTTATCTAACGCTTATAATGCCGGGTTGGTTCGTGTTGAATTATGCCCTGCTGGAGTGCAAGGCGTTGTTCTCTGACCGAACTACGTGATGGGGTAAAACGCGGGGTAGGTCGCGGGGGCAAAACGCCCCATGGGGCGTTTTACCTCATGTGTTGTTCGGACTACCCACTTCCTAATGTTCGGTAGCTGGCTAACAGTAAGTTTCTATGCATTTATGTGTACTTTTCTCAGCAACTGGATGGCAAAGGAAGTATTTTGTTAACATTTCCATTGCAATAATATATTATTTGGCCTTATGAGGCAGGTGAAAAACCTGCTCATACAATAGTGTCATAGCTGAACACCTGATAGGATGGAAGGAGCTAACTTCAGTGCCGTGCTTCCCAAGGTCTAACAGACCTCTCATGTAAGATTTAAGTCAACTAGCATGTTTAATCTTTAATCTAGAGTATGGGGCTTCTTGCCCCAGGCCGTGGGGCGTTTTGCCCTGGGGTTGGGGCAAAATGCCCCATTTGCAGTTGCTTCATAAAACACTTCCTAGTTAGGAGTCCGATCATAAGTGAATGAATTTGAGGGGTGGAATTTAAAGTAAAATGTCCAAAGAACGCATTGAGCACAAATTTGGCCTTCCAGGTGATGTGGGACAAAAGCTATGTAGCAAAATAAATTATCTGGGGTGTCTTGCCCCAGGCTACCCTACCTTTTCTTACATCAATTTGACACGTTCCCTGAAAATTTGAGCGAAATCCGTCGGAAAATTTTTGAGAAATTGACGATTTAGTGACGTCATGTTCGCCATTTTCGCCTCAAAAACGGCAAAAGTTCAAACGCCGCTAACATCTTCATTTTTAAAGGAATCAAGACGTAACAAAAAAGTTTATACGTAATTCTACTTTGTCTATCAAATGGCTATCTCGGTTTTTTGAAAATTTTGGATTTTGGACAAACTTTTTTTTCTAAAAAAACTGACTTTTTTGGGAAAATAATTATAAAATCAAAAATTTTGAGTGCATCGAAAAAACCGGAATATATGTCAGAGTCTATGTGCACCTACATACCAATTTTTAGAAGAATCGGTTCAAAAATGTGGGAGTTATTAAAAATTTCATGACGTCACGACACATAACAATTTTGAAAAATGATTTTTTTGGAAGTTCTAGACCTCGAACCGAAACAAAAATAGCACCATTCGATTTGTCGTGAAAAACTGCATCAGATAGACACCTTTTTAGGCCTTAACAACCAACTTCAAAATTTGACCTCACTTGACCTGACCTTGACCTGACCTCGACCTAAAATTCATCTAGATGTGGTCCATATCACCTATTGAGTGTGCCCATTGAATTGTATGAATAAAATGACCCATAAATCATGTGTCGCACATGCCCTTTTCTATATTTTGTTTTTGGTGACCTGACCTGACCTGACCTGACCTGACCTTGACCTTGACCTCTGAATGATATTGTATGCAGCGAATATTGTCTTGGTAGCCTAAGAACACGTTTTGGGCAATCAGTCTCAGTCCATTCTTCAACTACGGTGCAAGGCCGATACTGTAGAAACTTGCAATTTGTACCCTTGACCTGACCTTGACCTTGACCTCAAGGCTCAAACTTTAAATTAAGTACATGTTTTTAGTTGTTCGAGATTAGATCTTTCGATTGGCGTTTGAATTTTCCAAATCGGACCATTAGTTCGGGAGATAACAGGGGGGGGGGGTAAAATTTACCCACCCCCAGCCCCGCGCGTTTGGCTGGAGACCCCAGCCCCGCGCGGGTTAACATGAGACAATACATCAGTAATTTGAGAGACTATTTTTATAGCCTGTCTTCCAGTTGAGTGTGCACGTTTTAAAAATGTGATGTTCAATGTTGTGTTGGTCACTGACCTTTTATGTCAGAGGTCACTAACCTCATAAGAGGTATCCGTGTTTTAACTGTACGTGCCGAGAACGCGATATTTTATCTGAGAAAATTTGAACGTTCTCTCGGCACAAACTGAGTGGTGATATAATTTGGTCTTGAATATGTAAGGCACTCGAATACAGGAATTAAACTAAACGAACTCTAAGTTACAACATAATGGCGACAAGGATGTTGAATTAATTAAGTAGAGTAACGTAACGTCAGATATCGAGTGTTATCATGATAATTTTTATTTGAGAGAAGATTGGTGCAAAGTAAGTTAACAGACGTTTGATTGAGTTGGAGTGAGGCTGAACGGTGAACTGAGTCGCGACTGTTGCATATAATTGTGGATATCACTGTGGACCCGGAACAGGCCACAGCAAGTAAATATGGCGCTCAGTCTCAGCACTCCAGAGAAGTTCCATGAAGGTGAAGACTTCGATATATGGCTAGATGGATTTGAAGTGTACCTGTGTGCTTTAGGCATAGAAGAAGTGACTCGGAAGAGAGCACTGCTGCTTCATTTACTGGGCACTGACATCCAACAGAAACTAAAGGATATGGCTGAAATTGAATCCGATTCAGCACTGCCAAATGACTATGAACGCACCAAAGCAAAGCTGAGACGTATTCTTAAACCCCAGGTCCGAACTCTGTACGAAAGGAACATATTCCACAACATGACCATGATGGACCGAGATGAAAATATTAGAGATTTTGTGGGGCGCTTGAAGAAACAGGCAGAGAAGTGTGACTTTACTCGGGAGCA